TGTATATCACACTCAATGCATAATGTTAACTCAAGCAATAAATCAGGTAGTCTTTGCACTCTCAGATGCAACTCAAAAATAGGTCTAGGAACTCCTGTATTCACAGCTTAATAGCTTTTAACAGATAATATATTTTAGGACTATACCATGTCACTCTGTTTACAATTTAAACATCTGAATTGCAATATGTATCTAGTCTTTTTATATATTTATCCTAAGTATGCCTTGCCATTTGTGCCATGAATGTGTTTGTAGTTAGCCTTTTAAGTGCAGTAGTATGTTTATCGTTGTTTTGCAATTTGTCTTTATTTATGTGTTAATTACATTGCGCTATGTGTTATAGTTATCTAAATTGTATCAATGTATCTGTTTAAGCATCTGGAAACCAAATTTCATGTGAAACATGTTGTGCACATTGACAAATAAATATATCTTGTATCTTCTATCTTGAATAACTGTCTCTTATACACATCTAGATGTGTATAAGAGACAGATATAGGCAAACACTAACGTTTATATCCATCTACTAAATAGTACAGTACCACTTTATGGTATCATCCTATATAATAATATGCGTTAAGCTTAGGTGAATGCAATGTTAATTGAAATAGCAATGTGATACCAATATTGTTTTTTAACAATTAACCTTACATATGCGGTTCACAGGCACACGGTGGACAATATTTGTTTTCTGTGTAAACTCAATTATATCAAAGATACCATAGTACCTGCTACCATGGCAATAAGCTGTTTGGAGGGCGTATTATTGGGAGATGGGTGAGTAGAGCGCAAGTTATTAAAATGTGCGCGCCTCTCATTCTCTCCGATTCACCCACGGTTTAAAAAAAGTCATCTCATATTACAAATATTTCCCCCAGCTACCACGCCCTAAACAACGTACCGTAACATTATTCCGAATCTCCAACCATCCTCATCCACCAATCAGCCCCTAATCATCCCCTCCCTTTAGGTCTCTGCTGTTTAAAGCTTAAACGTACAAAATAGTCATCAATAGAGGACGCTGCGCAGGACTAGAAAATGTATGTAGTTGACGTAATTATGATGAAATACTAGTCTATCACAAAACTTCGTCGTAGTTCATAGAAATATCAAGTTGCTAGAACAGAGTTAAACTATAAAAGGTAAAAAATGTGGACTACGGTATCTTATGGGATCCAGGAGCAGTCATATTATTCCTGTAATATGACTGGTCCATGATAGGACCCTGTTTGATTTATATAGCCCATTGCAGTTTCAAACGTGTATTTGTTGCTTAAAAACCGTTTTGCATCATTAAAAGGCATTGATAATTTTCCACCATTCTTAAGCACTATCAACTTGAACCGATTATATTTATAGCGGCACTTTCGAGTTTGCATCATTGCTGGCAATATCGTATTCGCACCGCTGAACTGTCAATGCTTACATCTCAAGCACCGTTGCTTAATTAACTACTTTAGCGTCATCACTTATTATACTTGAATCACTCTCCACGAATTCCGAGTCCGTCAGAATATCCGTTTCTTGAAGTTGGTCCATAAAACTTTTAGAAACAGGTAAACTGTGTATTGAAATGTCAGACCGATATGATACGCCTTTGCTTAAACTGTTTATTTCATTTTTCTTTGTTGTCATATCACACTCGCTGCCGTCGCCATCGTCAGAATAGCCAAGACAACTATTAAAACGAGTCTTAGGACTTGAGCTAACACAAGCGCTTCCAATATTATGTACAATATCTTCATTAGAATGTATAGGCGTTAAGTAACTTTGTATCGTCAAAAATTCGTTTGAATTTCTGTAAGAAAGAAAGGAAGATTAAAACTATTAAAGACAGATTGTTTGTAGTAATATATGTTTACAATAACAGGATAGTGAACATGGGTTAGGGGGTCATTGGGAAATGATAAGCACTAGCGCATGGATACAAGGGAGTATTTAAAACCTGGATTAAAAAAAGGTGTTTAACCACCGGTTTTTCCACATTTTCTTCAGTTTTTAAATATTAAACAATCTGTATCTCATTAACCGTTCAAGAGTTTTTCGTCGAACACCTTTACACATTTTTTGTTTTAGAAAATCAGTTGCACAATTCCTCCCCCTCCCCCTAACCCCGAGGCCTGGCTTTAAATGATACACAATACTTACCCTTGATCTGATATGCTGCAAACAGTAGGTTCTTCGATACAGACTGTGATTGGTAATGGTGGGAACGTGTTCGGAATTGACGTTGCTAGTGAAGAGATCATTACCTTATCATCTATAATCAAACCGTTAGGAAACAAACAAAAATAATGACCATTTTTCAAAATTTTAAGTTAGTGACGTACTTTAAATATCATTGTGAACTTAATCATTTTGGAAATTTAACTAACATTTTGGCCGATTTCAACCTAGAGAACTGTGATCAACATTTCATATTATCTCATAGTAATTTTCTCAATAGAATTATCTAAATGGACTAAAATAATTATTTTTTGTCGTTTAAATGCGTGTCATTCGTCACTTGCATAATGCAATTAATGCACTGTGCAAAAAGTCACATTCTGCTTGTTGATTAATTGATTGATTGATTTACAATTTAAAAAAAGCTAGGTTTTTATAAGGACTTCCCTGACGTTTGGATTTTGGAAACTACCATTCTAAGTTCTGCATATCATACCACTGACTTGCCAACTCAAACGCAATCTAGAGCACTATTGTATATACTAATTATATTTTTTATATTATTTTCAATAAATTTGTGGTCGTTCTCGCGTAACAGTGGATATTCGTTACTTTGTAATATAAAAGCTGGTTATCATAAAATCCTTATTACACACGCTATCGTAGCGACAGCGTAACAATTTTATAGAAACCTAGCTCTGAAAAAGCAAGCTAAAATCTAATCTATTGCAATTTTAAGCCTTGGAATAGAGGTAGCTCACAGGCTCTATTAGGGTTCCTTTACAAAAAAAATCTATTAATATGCTACTATGGATTTTTTAAATGTATAGATAACGGTTTTGTACTTGCCATCTGGGGAAACTTTTTGATGATACTGTATGTTTTGTTCTCTCTGAATAATTAACGGTACAACCTCAGAGTCTAAATCATAGACTTCACGTTCCAGTCGTTCAATCTCCGTGTCACACTGGAAAAGAAAATTACATTGCTATTTTGACTTATGCTAGTCTTGTGGCGCGTTAATGTATCTTCACATTATAACTTCATTTATTGAATCTCACTCATATAAACTCTTTTTTTCGGATCATTACATTATTATCTTATTCCGTTTATAGGATCAAACACGTAATTATTCCTAACCGAATCACTTACGTTTTTTGTTCGCAAGTATTGGGACCGTATTAGGTATTCGGTACGACAACACGTCAGGTTGGGCAAAACATCATTTCTATAATATTTTCCTGACGCAAACTCACATAGATATAGTATTTTTTATATGTTATTACTATTATAATAGCGGCATAATATTTGTCAATTATTTGGATTAATAACACAGGATATCATGTGAGAAGAAGATCAACCACAAAAACAATTTTAATTCAACCTACCGGTCTAACCAAATTATTCTTTCCTTATACGTTATTTAAATACATTATAACCACTTTGCCTCTAAACAATGTGTCTAAACGTTACCCCGTCTCCTAGGCAATTGAAAGATTTACCCTCACCTTTGCAAACCTAATCAAATATCACTATTTTCATAAGATGACACAAGCATTTTACCTGCTGTAAACGTTTTTCGGCTGAATTGTGTTCCGATGCGAGTTTCTCTATTTGTGTACCATTGTTAGTAGTAGTTGACGGATGAATCGAAGTTCTTTCCGATCGTAATACTGCCCTCACTCGATCGTTAGCATTAGGGTTTTTCCGTAACTCAACAATCTGTCAAGAGAGGGAAGTTGATGATTTATGTTTGAGAATATTAAAAAAAGAAACTACGATTTGGTGATGAAATTAATTTTATCGCATGACGGATGGATCGCGTCAACTCAGGTCGTAATACTGCACGCACTAGATTTTTAAAATAAGATCTTTTTTTTCGTAGTACTCTTTATAGACTTGTCGTTGATATTAATTTAGTTGTAAGATATCAAGGGATATTTTGTTTTAACGAGTATTAGCTTGTTGACGACAGTACTTACATCTAAAACGACAATAGCTAAATTATGATTAAATACTATATTATAAGGATAGGACCTTGATGCTAGAACATACCTGCTGCGTGGTTCTCCTTTTTAAAATCTTTAACCTTTTTAAGCTCTTTTCAACATTTGAAAAAAAAAACATTTGACATGCCAAAATATGGTCATGATGACATCACATCATGACCATATATAGGCACATCATGACTATATATAGGCACATCATGACCATATATAGGCACATCATGACTATAGCCTATATATAGACATACAAAACAAAATTCTAATAATTATTGTATTTAGTATAGTTGTAGTATTCACCTTAGGAACAAAAACTAATCCTAGTGTGAGTGAAGAACAGAAGATGATGAACGCCGATATAATCCCGAACGAAGCATTTGGACTATCTTGTATCATGAACGTGAGGGCGGCACCACACACACACAAAAGCATGACGTTGTACACACACATCCCGATGTACTTACTATCGTTTAACGCAGGAATGCTTACGTGTCGTGTAGACCACGCAAGTAAACAACCAAACATCTATGAAATAAACAACACGAGTATTGTTATTTCTTAACATATTCTCAGGCTACACACTTACACCTGAATATCGACCAATTATTCAGCCTAATAACTTCACAGATGTTACCTGTACGTCTAAGTAGGCCTACAGCAAAGTTTTATTTCAGAATTCCGTAAATTTAGTATTTAATCTGGTCAAACTATAACTGCATTTAGGTTTAATTGTAGCACATTGGTGGTTGTATTTTTTAGCTTTGATGGCGATGAGTTAATAAATTGTAATAAGGGACGAATTCAGAAATTACCCTGACCCCAACGATGGTACGAACTTTTATGACCATGGAAACATTTTGTAACTTTGGATTTTTGTGACCTGGAATTTTCGTAAGTCTGCCGTAGATATTTCGTAGCCAGAAGACATTTCAGGTTTCGAAACGTCCGCATTACTAAAAAAGTTCCTTAGCACTAGATGCCTAGAAGTAGCACTATTCTATTTTTTCATTTAAAATAAAACATAAATTTGGAGAGCGAAATGGCCTTTCTTCCAGTCATATCACGCAATACAAACTGACGTTGCTGAAAAAGAACTGGGATACGACGATGCGGACAATAACCTACATTACAAACTAATATAATTTAAAACCACCACGGGCTTTCGTTCAATCAGTGAACTTCTTCAGATGAGAGTGAAAATGAATGTCATTCGCTATTATCTTATTTGCAATCCATTTAGATTTAAGTCCAGTCATGATTTATTGAAAGATATGAGCAGCAACGAACACTCAATCATTCTCCATCTTGCTACTGGTTGATTTGACAACGTTTACTTAAAGGCGTTGGAGAGAAGATTTAATCCCTTAGGATCTACTCTACAGCTATCCAAAGTTATATCACGGAGGTATGAATTTATACGATGACATCATATGACAAACATTATATAATATTATTATATATACAGGTATATAATAAATTATATATATGTATATATATCATATATACATATATATATGTATGTATATATATTTATATACATATATAAATATATATACATGCATATATACATATATATATATCATATATATATTATGGTAATAATCATAATAGCATATGGCAATTGCATGTACTAGCTCTATCACACGTTTTTGTTTTACAGTACAGGTCGGTTATTATTATATTAATATACGTATGCTAAAAAGCTAAAATAATGGAAAATGGCAGCCATTTTAAATTGTAATAGCTACATTGGAATACGCACACCGTGTTGTGTTTAAATATTTCGACACATTATTAGATCATCTTCATGATTATCTAGGTCTTAATTATTGTATAAATATCAAAGAGTTATTGCCATACTTGTACGCAAGCAGCAACAATCATTTTGTTTTTTAAAATCTATACATTACTGAGTTTTTATTTAGCCAGGGTATTGTAAAGTACGTGTTTTATTGGATTTCTTATCAAAGATATTATAATTAAGATGTAAAATGTATTGCCAAAGTCACTAGCCTAACAGACAACCATTAATCAATATTTTGAATATTTAGCGCAAACAATACACGTTGAAAAAAAAAAAAAAAAAAAAAACTTTACGATCAAAATAACTAAAGACTGCTATAATCTATGAGCAACAGTTTATAGATAGATAACAATGTAGTTGATTAATCCAATGACGATGTATACAGTGTGCAATATGCAAATGCAGGAAATTCAACCCTAGCAAAAAAATAAAGAAAGATAAAACTGACGCAACACAACACTTCTCTAAAGTTGATATCGCTCTATTTACCTTTCCATCGCGCCTCTATCAGCCCCAAATAACATTTTTGTAGGCCTACCGTACCGTATATAAATAAACTACCAACCTTTGGTTCTAGGTACTGTTTTCCGACGTACATTGGGTCGACAAGTTGCCACGTGATCAGAACTATCGCGTCGATAATGAGCATAACGGCAACCATTACGAAGAGATGCGTGTCTTTTATAACCTGGAATTGTAACAAATACGGTAATATTTCAATTCAACCAATCAATTAATTAATCACAATCAATCAACAATTAGTCTTACAGGGACAGCGCTATCTATGATTATCAAGGCTAAGTTTAGTACGGTAATTTTAGCAAACGGTGGACTAGCAATCTGGTAAATTGCAATCAGCTTGACGATTAATATTATCAGATTATTCTATAATTATTAATTATCATCGAACATCAAGTGACTGGTCACTTACAGGATGGAACAAAATTCGTTATGCTCTATAAGCTCATGAGGGTTAGACAGTGCATTGTGTATAAATGGGTACCTGTTAGGGTTGCCCGCTAGATTAAGATCATCAAAGTATTATTGTTAATAATAATAATAATAATAATAATAATAATAATAATAATAATATTAATAATAATAATAATAATAATAATCAGTTGGCGCGGTTGTGGCTTGGGTTCGAAACTCTCGCTGTGCAAATCGCTTGTGTCCTTGGGCAAGGCAATTCATCTACGGTTGCCTCTCTCTCCACCAAGGGGTACAAGTGGGTACCTGGTAGGTTCCAACACAACTGCGCTGAGTATGTGTTCCATACGTGTTTGATCCAATGACCGGGGTAGTAATGAGAAGCGCTTACAGGCTTTAAGCATGAAGCGCTATTATTAGACTGACATAATATTATAATTATTATTTATTATCATTATTATTATTATTATTATTATTATCATCATCATCATCATCATTAAGTATTAAGCGTATGATGATGACGTAATAAAGATATGAATCAACATGGGCCAAACCTGTTGTTGTAGCATTTTTATTGTGTGATAAAAAGATTTGAATTCGTACCGTACCTTTTTTTTCATCTTTACGTTTGTAAAGATTCTGTAAACCCGCCACGTTTTACAAAACATCGCACCGAACGCTAATGTGAAGGAAACGCACAGAAACCATGCCCTTGCCTGAAAATATTAAATGATCATTACATCAATAGATGAAATGATCGTAGAAGGTTTCATGTTAATGGCTCATGGCAATTTTGAGATATCGTGCGAACAAAATATGGGGAGGAAGAAAGAATAATAATAAAAAAAATCTCTGACAATAACAAGAGGTCATCCGCATGTTAAGATCATTATTATTAGGCCTATTACATAGACCTATAATGATAATAAATGATGAGGTTTTACAATTTATTTTATAGATATTATAATGTTTAATTATGATTATTACTTATCCTTATACATATCATTAATTTGTAACCATACATTTTTAAATAATTATTGTGATTTTACAGCTGCAGGTCTCACTCTAATTCTAGAAGCCTCCAATTAAAGACCACCTCTAATTAAAGGCCAAAGATGCTAAAGACCATGGAAACCCCGGTCTTAAAAGTGGTCTTTACATTGAAGTATGTTCGTATAGGCCACAAATTGCACTATAGGCCCTATTTCACTTACGGCACAGACAATTCGAAATCCCTTGTTACTGAGAAACGCTTTGTCGAGCCCCAAAAAGAAGACGCATGAATATGCCAGTATACCACCGAATATGATCAAGTTGTTAATGTTCGGACTAGACATCTTAATGTACCTAAAATGTAAATCGAACCAAAATATTAGCATGAAATATATCTGCATTTTATGATAGTGATTGCAGTTAAAGTGTCACCTTTAAGATATAGCACTGCTTATTACATTTCGTAGCCTACTTGGCCTGTGGAAAGCAGCATAATTTTGGAACATATATTTAGACAAGACCACTTTTGGATGGATGACAAATAGTCCAAACACTCAAATTATCTAATTATTGCAGGCCGTGCATCGATAATTAACAGTTGTTTAACGTATAATATATTATTATTTTACAGTTAAAAAAATCCTGCCTTAGATTTCCAACCTACCGTTATTATTTATTTAGCATTACTTTTTTAATCAACTCTCAAGCCTTACTGATGGATAATGAATATTATTATTATTATTATTATTATTATTATTATTATTATTATTATTATTATTATTATTATTATACAGATTATTATTATTATTATTATTATTAATATTATTATTATTATTATTATTATTATTATTATTATTATTATTATATATATATATAATTAACTATTATTAAAATTACAATTAAATTTATTGTATTAAGCCGTGCATTGATAATTAACGGTTCATTGACGTATACGATTTTAACTGCTCATGCCTTAGATGCTAAACCTTACTGTTATTATACCGATATTGTTTACTATGACCATTTCTTCGTATAAGATTTAATACACCGTACGTTCGTATTGAAAACACGTACGCTTATGTTTTATATTCTGTTTGAGTGGCAAATTCCTCTCAAATCCTCCACTCTGATTCATAACCGCCAGAACAAGATGTGCGTATCGATCAAATAAGAACAAACAATTTCACACAAGACAGCAACATCCCTTCACTTTCAATTTGTGTTTAAACAATCTCGAAGCCGGTAAAATGATATGTATCTACTGATACTTATTAAAGATTGCCAAGTTTTTTTGTTTACCTAATGGTATCAATTTCAAACACAAAGCATAGGCTGAAACCGACGACGTATTTTGTGAACATTGCTTACGTATCATCAGCGCATTCAGTGTGAGTTTACGCATTAATCAAAAGAATACTTTAAAACATGTCTTTGGGCCTAAAATCCAGATTTGCAAACATAAGACATATGGGTAGATTGAGAATAGATCCAATAACATGGCAAGCCTTTTATCATGTTCAATCACCCAGCCATATTATTGGATGGCGACGATTCCCAAGCGAGATCGGATCAGCACCAGTATTGTAGTCTACTATGCTCTCTGTAAGTAGTGGCTACCTTAACACCACCCCCATTAGCAGTAGAAACTCATAAACTTTCTCCTTAAATACACCTTTGAGTAGTATTTCCTCTGATTTTGCTAATAATGCAACACTCATTGAACTATATGCGAACTTCAGTGTTTCTTCATGATGCATTTGCGCAGAACATACTTTACTCAGACAAATCTCATGGCAGCAACGGCGTTATTATACGACTGATTCCCTGCTTAGATTGTATGATACCCCAGATGCTTTCTTGTAACATTAATATGATACTTTGAAGTACATACAAACCAACAGAAAAATAAACTCAGTTCCACTTAAAGCCAACACAATGATATTGATGGAAATTTGCTGAAAGTTTTTAAGATTAACGGTTTGAATAAAATAATTGTAATAGCATATCAGTTAACAAATACAAATTTTAATTGAATTGGAATATTCATTTACACATACTTATTTTTAAAATTACAAATAAGTAATAATTACAATACAAAAAACAACGACCTTTATCACCAAATAATTCAAATATTATGATATTTTATATCAGAAAATTTTTATAACCGTATCAAAATATAAGAAATTGAAAGAACAATTGCATGATTATTTGTTGGCTTGGTTTTCATACAATTGGTACATGTCATCGCCGACAGCTTTCCCGATTGCGTTGGGGATCTGCTAGGCAGTACAACGATGAAAAGACTGTAGCGACAGTGTAGCGACTTTAAAGAAACCATGCTTTAAGGAGACGGGTTTGGTAGTAGGCTATTGTAAACTCTTGAAGTACAGATTTACTATTAAATTAAGTTCAATGTAATTTACAAGAGATTGTCACTGAGTTACTAAACTATTTTCCTAGAATCCAATGACTTAATATTATTGCAAATTTATTATTACTGGGTTTTCTACGTTCTTCAATACAATCATGGCAAAGAATAATATGTAGATAGTTTTCATTATAAAATATAGGTTTCACTACAAAGTAGCCTACATGGACTATCTCCAAAATAAAAAAATAATTGTCTTTAAAGCTCTTGTCAGCTTGTTGTTGATGGTTTGCCATACCATGCAGTAATTATCTACTCAAAATTTTAAGACTGGATAAGGGTTAAAAAGATCGGGTTTTAAAGATTACATTTTCATGGCTGTTCAACATCTTGTTTTACATTCTACATTTCTGTTTTCCCCTTTAACTTTTGTATCTTTTCCATCTTGTTATATTGCGTATTTGTTATAGGTTTGCGTTATCGTTATAAGATTACGTTATCGTTAAAATAAGATTGCGTTATGGTTCTTAGACCTCCTCAGATCAGGTTATAGATAAGCCTACGGTCGCGTTACAATTATAAAATTGCGTTATGGTTATATGATCGCGTTATAGGGATGACATTAAAGATTACAAAATCCCATTATCGGAGATCTCCCTTATTGTTATTGCGTCACGTTATTAGGATTATGGTACCGTTACAAGACCGGTTAATGAAACCGTCTCAAGCGTCTTGAGACGGTTTTGATCGTGGAAGGCGCTATATAAATATAAAACCATAACCATAACCATAATGTTATGAGATGGCGTTTTGTTTATATATTGATTCAGGATTTGGACAGTTGTAAGTTATATAAAATTTTCTTAAATTTCCAGTATATGATCGCGTTATGGTTTAAGATCGTGTTAAGATCATTAGATTGTGTTATCGTTATATGATCCGTCTTAAGTATACACAGAATATCGTTGTTATAATAACGCGTTATTGTTATAATTTCGCGTTAAAGTTTATAAGATCGCGTTAATTAATGTTGTTGTAATATGACATTCGCATAAAAAAACACATTAAGCTTAGCATTATAAGATCGCAATAAACGTTCAAATTCGGAAAGCGGTTAATTCATCTATCGACGAGCTCAATATTACACTATTAAACCACTTTTAACTGTTTGTATACATTCTCGATTTTGACTCGAATAATCTTTCGACGACATGATCATCATCTCTAATAGGCCTATCATAATTATACAGTCCAGGAGGTAAATTATTTGACGTTGATCATTTACGGCGAAATAAATAATTACTTGTTAATCTTATGCTTAAAAGTGACTGACTGACTAATTGAGATATCGGACAACGGAGTGTATTTAGCAGAACTTATCAATTCGAAAATTACACGTGACACAATCTAAATTATGTTCAAAACCGAAATCGAATCATAAAACCAAATACAAGCGATGCCATTTACATTAGTTAAAAAACAGTCATGAAACAGTTTTGATATTAACTATAATGATCAGGAAAAAGTACCTCCAATTTGTTTATAATTAAAAAGCAAATGTATTCTGAATCTGATTACTGGCCATTTGGCTTGCAGTGTGACGTCAACCGGTGTCCGTTGACGAGCGCCAACCACGTTGATGATGAACATTTTATAATTATTTTAGATGTTGATATGGACAATGGTAGTAAACAGCGGTTTTGATAATATATTATTTTGTATAGTAATGATATAAAAATATGGTAACAATATAAACATGCCTAATTTCAGTAAACTAATAATACTGATAATGATCTATAATGTATTTGCTGAGAGCATTTCTACTTTCAATTACTATACTGTCTCTAAATGTCTCAATCACATCAGTATGATTAACACAAGTCATTGTCCTTCAGACTTTTGGTCATAACAGAAACAAATGAAACTCATAAATTGCGTTTTATTATGACAATAAGACGATCTTTCTTGAGGACAAATCTCTCTAGGGATAATCATTAAACCGTGCTTCCTATGTACTAAATATCTTACCGTTGTTTACGATTCTTCATGTTGAAAAATAGGAAACAACATGCGGCGAATATACCAATGGTAGCTATACCAACCATGCTGAAGAACAAGGAGTGAGAAACTTGCATCGTGGATGATTCGCTAAGCTGTTTGTACGGCGGCGGGGTATTACCTGAATTACACGAAAATCGAATGGTCAACGTTTTACAGTGACAGTAAGATTAATAACACGTGCATTCTAGATAATTGGTCGATTTGTCGGAGAATATTCAATCTCCCGACGAACACGTATTTTAAACATTAATAAATTTACAGAGACGATTATGTAGGTCGATGCTGATAACTATTAGGAAAAAATAAAAACACTAACATACGAGGATATTATACTAATTTCAGAGCCATCGAGTGTGTGCTTCACTACAGAACAAAAATCGCGACCTTCTGACCAAGTGTTTCTGTATTGTATTAAATTATAATTCTGATGAATGCATTAGGCCTATCGTCTGTTTTCTACACGGATTGCCATGATACAAAGATTTATGATTATACCATGTAATAATTGAAGAATTCCTATAAATCTTGATTTAGATCGTCTCGTAGTGACATACATCCATCGACAGGTACGACTGCTCTGATATATTTGGTATTTTGTACGATTATGATAGTACCGGTAATTAAAATTTCTGCTAGCAACTTCATGAGTGTTACTGTTTAACCTCAATATGAATTGTTATTACAGGTCTCCCTTTTATTAAGGTCCACTTTTGTAGCCAGATTTCCATATTTAGCTCATTTGAATAAAAAACATTTGTTAATTTGGGACCAGTGAAAAGTGGTTTTAAATTGGAGGTTGTCTTTTATTGGAGGGTGATATATTTGATCAATAGTCTTACTTATATTATTACTTAGAATATTCTTCTTCTCATTGCATGCCTATTATTAATAAATTATATTAGTAAGCAGCAAGAATGCGATTAAAGATCATTTATATTATATTTAAACATTATGCTATAATCATAGAGTACTATTTACTAAAGGCACACATTAAACATTCTGTCTTCACATACATTAATAACATGCAACTACACACATATTTACTTTATTATTACGTAAGTCAATTATAACTCAATATACAATTTATGGGCTCATAAAATCCAGTTGTATAGGTCTTATATTACATCTGTTAACAAAGTTAGGAAAAAAAACTAATAGGTTTAAAGAATAATTAACATTTATATGCTAAAAAAAATCCAATATACATAAAAATTTGCTCTTCTAATCTAAAGATTTGAAATGATTACAGACAAAAAATCACAATAGAAGATCAACTTCACGGTATTTTATATCATTATATTTATTGAATTTTAAAATAAGCATGAAACCGTTATTACCTGGCCAGCGAAACGCGTCTTTCTTGATAACAAGTTTATCTCCTAGCGAATGATATTCACCAACTTTCTTCATAGTTCCATCTAGAAATAGAAATATAATCACAAATTATTCTCTATTATCATTAACAAACATCAATATCAATAAGCTGATAGTTTCATTATTTTGCATAATAAAGAGGTCTGTAGGCCTAAGCTAAGTTTTCTCCGGGCCCTACTACCTCGGGCACCGTCTGCTCCGACGTTTCCAGCGTTTTATTGGCGTATTAATATTTGGGGCAAATAACATTCCCAGCAAAATATTGAATATTTCCCGGGCCCTCAAGGTCCCGAGGTTCTGCTTTAGTCGGCGAGAGCTCATGTGTTATACCACTTGATATGTATCCTTTCCGTAAAATCACAATAATTATAGAGTAGGGTATGCAATTGTGTTATTCCACAGCAATATTTTATTATATCGATATAGTGTTCAGATCTTCAGAATAGTAGTGATAATTATTTTTTATGATTCTTGTGCCTTGCTCAAGTCGATTGCATTCCAGAACTGTTTTCGGGAAGAGTGAGTTTAATAACAATGTTTCAGTATAACTTTTCAGTTTTTTTATATCCATTTTATAAAGTATTATTTAACTAGATAATGTTTCAAAAGATGCTAAAACATGTGTTGGCGTTATTATCACAAAACCTAACTGCAATATTGACAATTTTCGGGAATGATGTGGTCTTAAGAATTCGTAGATTGAAATTATCTACATATTTTGCTGCAAAGAAGTTAATCCTTAAGTTGAGTTGTATTTGTGACCTCACGCAGCTTGGTTCTACAAATACATAGGCCTATGGTGTTTTTTTCTTCTTTTTCGTTTTAAACCAACAAGAATTTTACTGATACTTGATTTACAATTTTTATATTCGTTAATTGTAAATCTAGCCGACTTATTTAGGACCTTTTATGCGTTCTCTTTGTCAGATGTGTGTTGCGGATCCCATAGCTAACAGAATGTAAGTATAGGTTTGATTTATGTTTTGGAATAATGCGATATCTGTTGAAAAGTGTGAATGACAAAGGACACTTTATAAAGTAGCGTATACACCTAAAGTACCAATACATCTTGAAGCTTATATTACATCATCTATGTTTTTCATTGAAAGCACATCTGTCACTGTGTTTTTACAAATAATTTTTCGCTGCTTAAAAATTGTCCTTTGTAATCAACACTTCTCACCCGTTAAATGCATTCGGAAACGGGCAAATCTTCATAAGCAATTGACTTCGTACACCTCGATGAGCTGTGTGCATACTTATAGTGAACGATTGAAATGCAAAAGTTTAAGTCTTAGGCTTAGTATAGTATAGTGGAAAAGAGTTTGTCGAGTTCAAGATAGAAGTGTTAAAATCTTAAATTCACAATTTAATCAATAAAAAAAATCACTAATTATTATTCAAGTTTATAGATATACTGTATCTCTAACATTTCACAAAAATGGTTATGAGTAACACTGGAAAGTATTTTTTGCAAGAACCGATAAATACAATGACGTCACAGCACTTCAAACATCATTACTTTCGTACGATAGAACAGCTGAATCCGAAATGTAATATCCAATACATCTTTATAATTATTAGATATTGCCGAAGGAAGTGTTTTTTTTAAATATACTCTTTTTTAATATACTGTTTTTATTATTTGCATATACGTGATAGATATTAATGTTACAGACATCTGATTTACCCGCAGGAAAGACAGCGTGTTACTTAAAAAGTATTGTCATCATCGCATGTAAAAATCAACATGTATTTTTTGGCCATAATGATAAGAATAGTCCGATAATTTTCATCTAAAGAATAGAAACGTAGCTGTTCGCTTTTTATGAACCGCTAAAATTCACTATCGCGTCGCTTCCCTCGTGGACATGTCTTATGAACGATTCAAAATTTACCGATATTACGTTCACGCAATCAGTCAATCAATTGTTCGATTTATGCTTTTGAGATTGTACCGTATTAGCCTACATTTAAAAAAAAAATCGGCTAATGAATATTGGTTAACATTAGCGGTTGTTAGACTAAAGTCCGGTTTTCTTTAAATCACTACACTGTCGCTACAGTGTTTTCAGTACAATCGTTGTACTACGAGCAGTCGCCGAGGCGAGTAGCTAGTAGCCGACTGCGTGGCAGTCCGCTGACTAGCAGTCGACCGATCAGCATCACCGAAAGCTGTCGACGATAGAGAGTAGCGATTGTATGGAAACCACTCTTAAAAGCAATGTACGGCTGCGGCAGTATCGTGTATACCTATAGAAGTACCTTGCAAACTTGAAAGAGAGTTGTGAATTGAAGCGTACGTCAGGCAGTAGCTTTCGCACTTCTACGTTTTGTTACGTGTCGCTTACAACAGTGGCGTAACGACGAGTCAGGGGGCCCGGGGGCGATTATTTTATAAAAGTTAGTTTCTGTCGCTTTGTGAGGAAAGATAGGATTACATTGTTTAAATTTACTGTTAGAAGAGCGTTGTCTAGGATAGCCCCCCACCCACCACCAGAGTCCATAGGGGCGTTGCTTACAATAGAATCAAAATTCACATCATGACTTTTAGATTCATCTTGCAAAATAACGACGTATTCATCAACTGCCGCATGTTGGCGCATTATCTGCCTTGGGGCGTCGATGGTTAACACTAACCTTGGAACTGTTGTATTATTTGTGATCCAATCCTTTCACCAGCATCAAAATATACCTCACCCTATAGAAGAAGCATAATAATATTGTTATTACGTATACAAGCTATAATTATTATTAGGCCTACTTAAGACAATACGTATATAATAACTCATATAATTTAAATTTGCAGTCACATATTTTTTCATTATCCATAAGTAAGGCTTGAGAGTTGATTAAAATAAAAGTCATACTCTAAATAAATAATAACGGTAGGTTGGAAATCTAAGACAGGATTTCCTTAACTGTAAAATAATAATATATTATACGTTAAATAACTGTTAATTATCGATGCACGGCCTACAATAATAAGTTAACTTTAGTGTTTGGACTATTTATCATCCATCCAAAAGTGGCCTTGTCTAAATATTAAGGTCCAAAATTCCGCTGCTTTCGACAGGCCAAGTAGGCTACGAAATGTAATAAGCAGTGCTATATAACTGCGATCACTTTCATAAAATGCAGATATATTTCATGCTAATATTTTGGTTCGATTTACATTTTAAGTACATTAGGAAGTCCAATCCGAACATAAACAACTTGATCATATTCGGTGGTATACTGGCCTATTCATTCGTCTTCTTTTGGGGGCTCGACAAAACGTTTCTCAGTAACAAGAGATTTCGAATAGTATTATA